CCCCCCCCCCGTTTGCAGCGCCGCTCTGTTTCTCACACCCCTCCCACCCCATTAAGAGGCTCTCTGCCTGCGCTGAAGCTGCTAGACGCACCGACCCTCCAGGCCGCCGCCCAAAGGCAACATTCAGAAACGAAACAAAGACGACGGCAGCAGAAACATTTTTTTTTTTTTTTAAACCTTCCACTCTGCTCTCGCACTTTTGTTCTGTGGCTGCTTGTTAAGAGGATCATTATCAAAACCTAAGCGGTATTATTCCAGTCTCTGGAACCCCGTTCCTATGCCGCTCCCCCCAGCCTCGGCAGTGCTGACAGCTGCGGGACTCTGCCCTCGGGACTCGGCCCTCGGGACTCGGCCCTCGGGACTCGGCCCTCGGGATGCCACTCAGGGCCAGTTTGGGGTCTGGGTCCAGCTCCCGATCCTGACGCCTTATTCCTTTGCATACTGGTCACTAAAAGGCTTGTTTTATTACAAGCTTAACATGCATCTCACACTGTCTTTATATTCACAGCTTACAGTGATCACAGGGGGCTTCTGGAAAAAGGCGGGTCGGCAGGAAACTGCTGACCTCCTCTGAAAATTACTCTGGACCCAAGTAGAAAAGGTAAAAACAGGTAAACAGGTGTCCAGCCAACACTGCTGGGAGCCCACACACACATGGAGTGTCTGGTTACAGGAGAAGGTGCGGTGATGTCACAGCCACAGCTGAGGGTTGGTAGGGGATCCAAAATGCGGCGGGTGACTCCGACACACCAAGGCTGCCGGTGGCGTGAGAAAAGAACAGCCCCCCCCCCCCACAGGACATACCCGGATCCATCACACACTCACACACTCGCCCCTCAAACTGCGAGAGGGTGCAAGATAGGCTGAGAGCTCTCACGGCGCCCCCCGCAGGCAAACAGGAGAACACAAAGCAGAACACCTCGTAGGCTAACGAAAGCAGCCAATATGCTTTTTGCTGGGGATGCGCATGCACATTTCTAGAAAGCTCCGCCAGAGATCAGTGAAGATTGCCGCGTTGACTGGACTACAGTCTAGTGTAGAGAAAAGATTTCTCATGGGAAAATAAATCATAAATAAATAAATATGTGTGAGACGTTTGCAGGAAAGAGGTGAGGCAGACAAACAGAACAGCCGACGTTTGTCTTAAAAAGAGGAGGCTGAGAGAGACTGAATACAAAGCGCGAGAGGGAGAGAGAAGGAGAGAAGGAGATAAGTCTTTCACTCCCGGAGGCGCCGCAGGTCTGAACCGGAGGGGGGGGGCGCCAGGGCCAGGGGAGGCTCCGTGTCGTCCATGGGCAACACCAGCCGAGTGCCGCGGATCACCAGCTCGTTCTCTCCGGAGGCCAGTTCGCGGTCCAGGGCCTCGTCCGAGGTCATGGCGGAACAGCCCCGCACCCCCGAGGCATCTGTGCTCACTGCCACGTCACCGTACGTCAGGCTGATGTCGCCGTCGTTCAGGATCAGGTCCGAGTCGTCGTCATGCAGCTGGCCCTCGTTCTGCGCAGGGAAGGGGACAGGGTGGAGGGTGAGGGCTGGGAGACACTCAAAGCTCCGGCAGACGCGTACGGACTGCAGCCCTGACGCGCAGCTCCGGCAGACGAGTACGGACAGCAGCCCTGACGCGCAGCCCCGGCAGACGCGTACGGACAGCAGCCCTGACGCGCAGCCCCGGCAGACGCGTACGGACTGCAGCCCTGAAGCACAGCTCCGGCAGACGCGTACGGACAGCAGCCCTGACGCGCAGCTCCGGCAGACGCGTACGGACAGCAGCCCTGACGCGCAGCTCCGGCAGACGAGTACGGAC